GCGAGCGAAGTTCCACTCAGCTGACTTTGTTACAGATTGTTTAGCGGACTAACATGAAATGATTGCTGTATCTATACATCGAGGCTCGTAGATTAGAGGAAGGCGTGCAGCTTCTTTCGCTGCGATGTCTGCCAATTCGTTTCCCAGTATACCAGCATGCCCTGATACCTAGAGAATTTTTAGCGGCTTGGTGAGATTAGTATTGCCGAAAATGAAGTTAAATACGTTACCACTTTTCATAGTCAGCGCTTTAATAACGCTGAGGCTATCCGAGCAAATCAATGTTTTATGGTTGGTTTTCAAAATATGTTTGCATTATATAGATAGATATACATATTGAATGAAAGGTCCTTCAATTACCTTTCCAACTGTGTCCATAAAATCGGTTCAATAGTTTTCAAAATATATGCTTTTGAAATTCTTGGAAATTCCACGTTTAGCCCCCCCTAACGCCGCCCCTGTCAATTTGCGCCAAACAAAAGTTTACCATTAAACTCAGCAGAAAGGGGTGCACCACGTCCACGTTTTCTTTTTTCTCTAGCTCAAGAGTCGGTATTCTTTAGGTATGCCCACTGTAGTAAGCAAAACTGAGGGCTCCAGTAATCTACAAAAATTCTGAGTATACAAACTGCGTTTAAGTATACTTTCTGCGTTCTTGACTAATTTCAGCTTTAACTTGTTGAAAATTAAAGGCGTCCGTCCACTTACATGTGCAAATACCAAAGTGATTTTTATTCACAACACGCGTACAGTTCAGTGTATCTTAACTTAGGGCGGGACCACACTTTAAAACTTTTACATAGAGTGTTCAGTAACCGTATAAATTTTATTTTTACATGGGTAGGGGCATTTACTTCGAAGGACTTGGGCTAAACCTCAGTTTTCGCTTACCGGACCATTGTAGCGTCTTTCAAGCAGAGCTAAACGCCATAATGGAGGCGGCTCGTTGGCTCATAACCTCCGCCTCTCCAGGACGGCCTATTGTCATCTATTCTGACATCCAGACTGCTATCAAATCTCTCAAATCTAACAGAACAACGTCCATAGTAACCATAGAATGCAGGAAGACTCAACCTGCTGGTATCAAAATGCTCCTTGATTGTTGTATGGTTCCCTCGACATAGGGACATTCCTGGCAACTGCCTAGCCGACGAGCTGGCAAGGAAGGGGAAGGAAATATTTGAAGTCAATTCTGCTCAGAATGCGGGCATACCTGTAACCTGCAAAAACACCACCATTGCGGCTGAACTCATCGAGGAGGTAAATACCTGGTGGGCTGTGGAAACCACCTGCCATACTACCAGGCAAATTTGGCCAAAAATTGATATAAGGCGATCCATAGCTCTTACTAGGCTGGACCGCTCCTATCTCAGATTAGTAGTCAGGGTAATCACCGGACACTGCCTGATGGGCACACACGGAAAAAAGTTATGATATCCAACCAACGATTTTTGCCGCAGTTGCAGAGACGGGGAAGAGGTGGGAACATCGAACACTATCTCTGCCATTGTCCCTCCCTGGCCAACATGCGCAACCAATTTTTCAACAAGTACTTTCTAGATTGTTTGGCCGACTTGGACTCGGCGAACGTCCTCGACTTTTTGTGCTATATAAAATGCACTCGGTACTAAGGGAGCGAAAGAAACAAATGACTTTGACCAGTGGTATCACAACGGGCTTTTCCAGCCCACGTGTGATAAGCGGTCTGCGCGGACAGCCACTCTAACCTAACCTAACCTAACCTAACCTACCTAACACCACATAAAAGTAAAGCATCATTTTTGAAAATCGAACGAACGATACAGATTTGATGACATGAACAATCGCGGCGTTAAATATTTAACGTCACACGAGACGAAAAAATAGAAGTTCCATTTAATTATTATGAGAACACGTAAATAATTTCCATCGTAAAATGATCGTCCCGTGAGACGAAAAAAATAAAAGTCCCAGATAATTATTAGAAGATGAAAAAGTTTTTAGTCTAACGATTTTAGTCTCAGGAGACCAAAACCGCTTTCCATTGTTCAGTAATAATTATACAGCAATATTTAATTTTATTATTTCTTATAATCGTCAGGCTGACTACACACGGGGCAACCGTTGAAGCAACGTGTTGAGGCAACCTGGTTTTCTTCTTCAATATACACGAGGCAACCATAGAGGCAACAATTGCGGCAACCTCAGTAGTGTGTGCTCTGTTATGAAATGAAGATACGGAAGAAAATTTTGTTTTCTATCAAAACACCGTTTCAGCTCAACTGTTTTCAATGAGTTAAGCCAATAAACTCAATACACAACGATAAACAGGAGGCAACCGACACGGCAATCAACACAAATTATTTTGATACGTGTTGACGCAACTTGTTTTTCTTCAATACAAATGAGGCAACCATTGCGGCAACCTCAGTAGTGTGTGCTCTGTTATGAAATGAAGATACGGAAGAAAATTTTGTTTTCTACCAAAACAACTTTTCAGCCCAATTGTTTTCAATGAACTAAGCCAATAAACTCACTACACAACGACACACACGAGGCAACCGACCAAGGCGAATACATATAAGGTGGTATCGATTGAGAAAATACAACAATTATTTGTATTTTGTTTTTGCTTTTAGCGGGCCATTGTCAAATTTCAGCTATTCTTCCCCGAATGAAAAAGGGCGACAGAAAATGCAAACACTCTCACGTTTTCACTCACTCACTAACGAAATACAAAATTTTGACAATCAAACGCTACTCACAGCTGATGAAACAACACCACCTTATATAAATTCGCCTTGCAACCGACGCTAAAATCAACACAATATATCAAAATATTTTGATTTTCGGGCGACACACAGTGTTCCGACTATATGGAGGCAGACGGAAACAATAGTTAACCTGCTCCGATTTCGCTGAAACTTGGCATGTACTCTAACTTAACTTAGGAATACGGAATTATGAAATTTGGTAGCTCTTGTGGGCGGAAGAAAAAATTTCCTCCGATTTCGATGAAATTTATTTTGTACTCTCTATTTTATTAGAGAAATCTAAATATAAAATATGGGGAAGATCGGATGACTATAACGTCTGCAGCTGGCGAAATATATGGGCCCAGGCAAATGTTATGGAATTTCGGTTAATTTTTGGTTCCTGCTTTCCACTCTCAGGAAACAAAGTTTATACTTAAAAATTGCATAGGCGTATATATTCTCCTTTCCATCAATGTTTGGTGAGATTTTTCCATTGTTCGAAAAATTTATTAGCGAAATTACGCAAAAAGATGTTGAAAATCCAAAATTAAGAAAAATAAAATGACATATATTTGCAAAGTCGCACGAAAAGATCTAATTATATATTCGAAAACTACATACAATTGTCTTAATCATACGTCGAATTTCAAGAAATAATTTCAGATACATTTCAAAGTAAATTTTTTAAGAAGAAAAATAGAAAAATTCCAAATAAATCATAAATACTTTCACCTGAATATTCCACGACACTTAAAATATTGATTACAGTTAGAAAAGAAACATTTTCTTTAATGGGTTCAGCGCCAAAGGTAACTAAACTTATGTCGATATTTTTTTTTTGTGAAATGTAGCGTTAGTGGAGAAGAGGGGTGAGTAAATGAAGTGAATTTTTATATTTATGACTTTTACTTTTGCCTCTCTAAGCCCAACTGGTTTACTTTAGTAACTGTCGCCATTACTTTTTTCCACCTGCCTCCATATAGTCGAAACACTGTGCGACGGTTGCGGCTACACGAATTTCTATGAGCACAATGTTATGGGCTGTTTTTGCTTACTTGTAAAAGCACATTTAGCGCACTTAGCTCTAAATGCTACTCTAAATGTACATTTATCCATACAAAATCCGTCACCTAAATGTAACTAAATGCAACTCCGTTTTAGCATTAAGAATCTAAATGCTAAAGGCAACCCTGTGATCTTCCAAAATGTCCACGATTCGAACATGGTTTAATTAGAAAAAGTGGCAACATTGCTTCTTCGCGTATACAGTGGCTAGCTGCGTTTCAGTGATCGCCGATTGAGATTTCATTTATTATTTTACATTATTTGGATAAAGAAAATTTACGCAAATTGAACATCGATGTGATGCTGATAGAAATCTGGATGAATTTCTGATCATCTCTGTTTGTTTTGTTTCCTAATTAAGTGAGGAAATTTTAATTGACAGCAACGACAAATGAATATATACACAAACAAATGTTCGGTTATGGTTAAAACAATTCAAGTTTTTGTATTGAATTTTTGGTTTAAAATTTATTTTTTTCCTTTCCTGTAGGTTTTTTGCACATTATCTTCTGCGTGAGAATTGATCGTAGTAGATACGGATCTGAATAAGCGAATGGAACAAGGCTGTTTGTTAAAAGCATACGATTTCGAACTCGCGTAAATGTACATTTGCTAAATGCGATAGCATGAACGCTCTTCGAAAACATATGTTCGAAAGTGCTAAATGTTGCATTTTAAATGCAGCAAAAACGCTGCATTACATACGAGACAACGGTCGAAGCATGGTCTCTGGTTGAAATGTCTTTGAAAATAAGAGAAAATTTCCCGATAAGTTATTTCGCCACGTTCCAAGTGTACCTTAAATAATGTGCTTGTACCGAACGTGCGTTCAAATTTAAGAAGCTGAAGAGTGATTACAAGTCTACCTAGTTTTACATCCCTTTTTCGAACCACTTGTTCGCTTCTTCCTTTTATTCTATAAAATTATTCTTTAAACTCACATTCTCATAACAATGTAACGACACACCCAGTTGCTCTCTGCTCGATTGGCGCAATCTTGTTCTCTACCATTCTTGCGTCATAACCGTCTTATTTTCATAGAGTAGATTTTAAAGCGTTGAAAAATGTTTGGTTGTTGTTGTAAATCACCTAAACACTTGTAAAAGCTTTAAAGTTTTCCATTATGACACTATCGTTGAGAAACATTGTGAACCCCCGGATACTCGTATAAAAATATTTAATAGTATGTATATTACTAACCTTAACATGTTAGAGCCACGTTTTCCATAGTTCCAAAAGTTTTCATGCTCGAGTATTATACGCAATATTATATGGGATTTAGAAGAAAGCTCCGTAGTCTTAGTATGTTTAGTGAAAAAGGCAAGCATCTCAAGACTCCCATAAATCAAGTTGTGATAAAGACTGCTATCTTCTGTGCTTTGCTTATCAAATTTTTTTGGCGGCCTCGAAAGAATGTCCTGTATATGATCCAGAATCTCAAGCTGGCAGTGCAAGCAAACTTCTTGAATACGATTGGATTTAGCATTAAAAATGTCATAAAAACTTGAACGGGCAATTTTGGCAGCAGGAGCATAATTATCAAACTGAGAAAATAGCCAAACTGGTACCAACTGTTTCAAGTAAGGCGCCATCATACGTTTACATTTCAATGCTAACACTTTCTGTACCTCCTGTGTTAGCTCCCGTACGTTATGAGCCGGATTGTGGGCAAGATCGAGGTAGATTTTAGACCACAATGATAAGATTTGTCCCACCTCTTCAAGACTAGCGTAATTTATATCGTCTATCAATTCTTCCAATGCCTTTTTTTTGGTAATTGGATCCTTTTTATTTAGTTTCCGCATCGCGATATGAAGGTTTGTGTTAGGTGTGCATTCATTTATATGGTATTCACTAGATGTCATTCTTTTATTCGATACATTCTTGTTTTTTAATTGTGTGGGAAAGCAAATTGAGGTCTGACTACCCAGTAACTCCGCACTACGACTACTACTGGATGGCTGCAATAATAAATAATTTTTGTAATATCCGTAAAAATATGCATGTACTACGAACATTGTACATTACATTCTACTCTTGGCAGTTACTCCTAAAAAGTTTGATAAAAATTGTTAACAATGTGTAATCTAGGCTGACTTCCAAAACGTCAATTGCTTTGCATACGTACAAAGTATAATATTCCATAGCGCCGAGCTACAAAATATTGACTATGGATACTTTTCCAAAACGCATAAGAAAAGTTATCAGTGCATCAGAAACAATGTTGGTGCTTCGTTTGTTATTGGTTACCATTGGTGTTTTAAAAATGTAAATTTCAGAAAAAATTTTCATTGCTATTTTGAATATTTAAAATATGCAATGTATATGGTTGCAATGTGTCGCAACTCTGCATATACAAACAGTTTGAATACCGCAGTATAACAGTTTCCAAACATTGCATTAATACGTTTTGGAAGTCAGCCCTACTGAGCGATGCACAGTAGTTCAGAGCAGAGACTGCGTTGAACGCCAACTATTGCATAGACTGCTTTTACACAGTTCAAGTATTGAATTCAATTCTGCTCGCATGTGGAAGAGAGGGGGTGAGAAGAAAAGGGATGAGTACACATGCGTCTGTACCGTCAAGTCGTTTCAACTTTCTTGCTTTGCTTTTGGCATTTTCGTTGCTTCCCATTTAAAGAACCAAAAACTTGAATTCAGCAGAATTGAAACGTGTAAAAGCAAATAGAAAACACAAAAGAGAATGAGCAAGAATTGCTTTCAAGTACTTGAATCATGTAAATCGGGTGATACTCAATCAATACTGCTGCTTTGTATGACTGAGCAGCGCGTTGACTTAATGACAATGAAGAAGTGTAATTTATTTGCCAATTTATAAATTTGTTTTGTGTAAATTACTTTATTTTAGGTACATAGCACGTTAAAACTTTCGTGAAGATTTGAGCACACGAAGTTAGGGTACCATTGATGGAATTGAAGAGCTTCATATTCGTACTCTGCCCTAGATTAGCATTTAAGTTGCATTGCAAAATATATCACATAGAACTCTGCATAAAAATTTATATCACACTGAATAAAGAAAAATATACATATTTAAATTATAAAATAATTAAGGGCGGTATTATCACTTGTGAAGCGAATGAATTTGGCGAAGCGAACGGTTTGGCGAAGCGAATGGATTGGTGGACGAAACTTAAATATGCATTAAGAGTGTTATATTTTACCAGCTTGTGGAAGTTCTTTGCATCGCGAACATGTTTAATGCCTTCTCTGTCCTTTATTTCGCTTCGCCCAACCGTTCGCTTCGCTAAAATCATTCGCTTCGCAAGTGATAATACCACCCTAAATTGTGTTGCAAAAAAAAACCAAATTAACGCTTTTGTTTTGGTTTTCTAGCTCAATAATAATGCTCTCAGTGAAGCATTTTCTGTTCACGAAAATCTTGGATGATGTGTTCCAAAATTAGCTCCGAGCAACTTAAAATTTTAGTTGAAGTGAATTAACTTCTTACTGCTCTTGTTAATAAAAAAAAACAAAAAGAAAAGTCTAATTTCGGCGAAGCCGAACATTTAATACCCGGAACACGTATTAAATATAGTTTTTTCACCTTTTCAAAAACTACCGTTACATGGCAAACAGGGAGGGTTTTACTTCTATTTCACACATCTTCGCTAGTATGTCAGTTAGACTTCATGAGATGATCTTACATACAGTGTTTTTTTAATATTTGTAATCTTTTTCGTAATAAATTTTGTTCGTTAATTTTTAATAGAAATATAGTTCATTTTTTGTTTTTGTTTTTGGCCTTTGAATTTTAAATGATGAACCATTTTTAACAAGCTTGAGGCCCAGCAACCAGTCGACCAGGCACAATCAAGAGTTCCTGAAGATGACCTCAGATTGAGGCCGAAATATCGACATTTAAAATATCAATAGAACGAAGATTTGCGTTTCATTTAATTGCTGGGCCTCGAGCTTGTTAAAATGGTTCATAATTTGGAATATAGTTCATTCTGCATCAAATGGCATGTAAATTAATGATTCCAAATTCTTACAAAATTTAGGAAAATTCGACAAATTTTCACCAAAATTTTAAACTTTTAAGCAAAGTTTTTTGAGTATGCAGTTTTGTAGCTCACTCAATTTCAGTATGATAAAGTACGAGTTTTAAGTGGCTGTAAACTACCGTTGATTTTTGAGATTTTTTTTGCTGATGATGTTGCTCATTTTCCCCATATAATGGATGCATTGTAGAAATTAGACGTGCCTTATTTGTATACACTTGCTATTTTACTGTAAAACGGAAAACTTTTACACGTCGGTATGACAAAAGTCTAACAGCCCTATTCGTATGTTATCACAGTCAGTTGTCACAGTTTAATTGTCATTATCGTGTCATCAACTGTTGTCATAGGTATGCACAGTCAATAATGACAAGCGAAAACTTAGTTTTATTTGCCAATTGCGGCGAAAGTTTCTCTATGGTAAAACAGCTGTTTCCACTGCAACAGACGGGATTTATTTTAAATAAAATACACCACATCAATGGATTACGAAACGCCGGAAAAGTAAGTAATTTTATAATAGGAAATTTTATTTCATTTTATTATGAATTCGTCTAGTAACAGACGTGGAAAATATCAATGCACCACACAAGAGCAACTGCAGTTTTGTGGTGTGGTCTATTGTGTTATGTTGTTGTGCTGTGGTGTTTGTGAGGGACTGCTCAGGTGGACTAGGGTTAGCCGCGGAAGCTGCTCTGTTAGCGGTTGTGGTGTGGTCTATTGTGTTATGTTGATGTACTGTGGTGTTCGGGTGGGACTGCTCAGGTGGACTAGGGTTAGCCGTGGAGGCTGCTCTGTTAGAGCAACAGGGGGTCACAAAAGACGTGGTCCACTGCCGATGTGTCCGTAGTCCAGAGCAGACTCTAAGGTGACTCCACCCCTCGCAAGCATTGCACTTGAAAGAGACGCTCTGATCTGGAAACTTGCAGTACATCTCGACGCCTATTAGCGAATAACTCAGTGAGAGGGCAGGACCAGGATGAATGTATTTGCATACAAATTTATTAAAGCAAAAATGTTTTGGGTAGGCGTCGGGGCCAATGATAACCATCAGTTACCACCTCTGCATGGTTGTAAGTCATGCAGAGTCCGTACGGCTTGTAGCGCTGTGGCTTTGCCGCTTAAACTCTATAAGTTTTTGGGGGTGTGCGTCAAGCGGGAGTGTTGAGCACCGGTTATTTATTTAAGTTAGAAAATTGGGTAGGCGCTGTGGCCAATGGTAGCTCTTGTACCACCACTGTATGCCGACAGCAATACAGAGCCCCGTGAGACAACTACGGAGGAGTTGTGATGCATCAAGCGAGTTTGTTGAGCATGATTTGGAGTGCCAGCAATTAACTACTTTAGTAAGTTTTGTTCTGCGGCAGTTGAGTAGTGCATTAAAAAATGCATACCCAATGAAGAACGAACGAATTATTTTTAAGCACAAGTGCGTGTGTTTATTCGCTGCACTTGGTTTTTGGCGGGAGTGCAATATACAAGTGCGTGTGTGTGTTCGCTGTTTATGCGGGACATGCATAAGTCGCTTAAACATCCTGGCCCCCCTAGACGACTTGTCGTCTAGCAGATGTAAAATAAGCCGCGAGTATCCGGCTCGAAGGACCAAGCATAACTCAGTGAGAGGGCAGGACCAGGATGAATGTATTTGCATAAAAATTTATTAAAGCAAAAATGTTTTGGGTAGGCGTCGGGGCCGATGATAGCCATCAGTTACCACCTCTGCATGGTTGTAAGTCATGCAGTCCCTACGGCTTGTAGCGCTGTGGCTTTGCCGCTTAAACTCTATAAGAGTTTTTGGGGTGTGCGTCAAGCGGGAGTGTTGAGCACCGGTTATTTATTTAAGTTAGAAAATTGGGTAGGCGCTGTGGCCAATGGTAGCTCTTGTACCACCACTGTATGCCGACAGCAATACAGAGCCCCGTGAGACAACTCCGGAGGAGTTGTGATGTATCAAGCGAGTTTGTTGAGCATGATTTGGAGTGCCAGCAATTAACTACTTTAGTAGGTTTTGTTCTGCGGCAGTTGAGAAGTGCATTAAAAAATGCATACCCAATGAAGAGCGAACGAATTATTTTTAAGCACAAGTGCGTGTGTTTATTCGCTGCACTTGGTTTTGGGCGGGAGTTTAATATACAAGTGCGTGTGTGTGTTCGCTGTTCTTTGTTTATGCGGGACATGCATAAGTCACTTAAAGAATTAGTAATCCTGCAAACGTCGTAGTCGATGCTTTGAATCTGGTGTACCTTTTTAGTTGACTTACTTTTCCCAAGGCGAGTTGAAATACACACTTTGTTGACGTGTCCTTACTTGTTACAGTGGGAGCACCACAGGTTCGACTTGTTGACGCGGCACTCTTTTGTTATGTGGTTAGACCTCCCACATCGGATGCACAGGCATTCCATACCCAGTTCTTTCTAATTAATCTTGAAGGGCTTTGATGATGGGTTGGGCGTTTCCCTTTCTTGAACTTCGAAATTTTGTTGATATCTGGAGTACCGCCCTCACTAATATTTGCCACTCGCGTGTTCAGCTCTTTAGCGTTCAACCTAGCGAATTCAAGAGAAAGAGCTTTTGCGGCTATTTCATCAAAAGTTGCTGTACTTGCCTGTAGTAGCTGCTATTGTTGTTGTTGTAGCGGCTACAACAACCCCGCCTAGATCGGTTGATATCTCAGTCGTTGTCGTCGAGTTCCTCTAACGGCAGCCCTAAGAAGCGTGCAGCCTCTTCGTGGTCGGTCCACAGGGACAACGCCGTTAGGGTTGTCGGGTTTTCCGGGCATGCGAAGAGATGTTTCGAGTCATGAGGGGTCTCTCCGCATGCCGGACACTCAGTTGGCACATCCGTGTTCAGTCTGCTCAGGTATGGGTTTAACCTGCTGCAGTAGCCAGAGCGAGGTTGGGCTATTGTGGTTCTTGTCCGTCTCGTCAATGTC